ATGCGTCTGAAGTACTTCAAGAATCCGTGCGGAAACGTGAAGACTCGAATAGCAGTGAGGAACCGGACGAGTAAGTTCTCGGTCCGCTTATTCGAAAAAGTGTCTAACCCTCTTTCTCACTAGCTAATGCTCAAGTTTGTGATACTGTAAACGTGGGAAATTATTTTTCATGTTATTAGGTCGGACGAGGATGACAGTGAGCGTGAGGATGCCGATGAAACTCGATCAGTTGCGAGCAAGACAAGTCGAGCATCTAAACGCTCGCGCAAGGTTCCTTCGCTTTTCATTGTTCATTTATGGCATTAGAATCTCATTTCTAATCTTTTATCTCTCAGGCTTCTCAAGGAAAGAAAGTTAAGCTCATAGAAGACGAGAAAACAGCCCTCGGAAGAGTATGTGTAGATATCCAACATTCTCGATATGTTAGCGTTCAAGTTGCTTTTTAGGTGAAATTTTCCGTGTATATGACTTACTTCCACTCTATGGGTATCATACGTTATTTTGTTCCGTTTGCGATAGCATTATCGCTGAACTCGACGCTTATCGTGGCCAGAAGTTTTTGGCTCACTGATTGGTCAGTTTGAAACCCTGAATATTCTTTGACTTCTCATTAACTACAGGTCCAACGACAACACCCCCGGTGCAGATGCGAGCTTAGCTAAACCCTTAGGTGTACGCCTAGGAGTTTACGCTGTTCTTGGATTCTCAGAAGGTAATTTTTTCCATTTTTTCTGTCTCATGTCATGCTAAAAAAAAACCACTCCTTCCAGTCGTTTTCCTATATCTGGCTCTGACTACATTGATTCTTGGCGGAGTGGCCGCATCTCTGAAGCTTCACAAACCATTATTTCATAATGTTCTGCGTAGTCCACTTTCATACTTCGACGTCACACCACTGGGACGCTTTCTAAATCGTCTTGGAAAGGTTTATCTGTTATTCCCTTTTGACTTCGATATCGACGCCGGTTTCATGTACAGCCGCATTCAGGACATGGAGACTGTGGATCTTCGTCTTTCATCAAATTTTAGATTTCTGGCTATGGCTTTCATGAATGTCCTTCAGGTAACTTATAAGTGTAGAAGAATATCCAGCGAGGCAATGCTTTTCTTCAGACATGCATCATAATCTCAATTTCGGTTCCGCTCTTTATTATAGTCATCATACCTATCTTCATAATATACATTTTCATTTTGGTAAGATGACGCTTTTGAGCTCTTTGAATCCCTGCGTTTCTCACATATCTGCACTTCAGCGCTACTTTATTCCGTGCTCGCGCCAGCTACAAAG